AATCTGTTGATTTTAACCATGGCAGCAAGTGTCGTGGTCTCTTGCCCTTTCAATTATAATTGCTTCATTATAGGTGGCCAAGCTGCCAATTCCCTGTTTGTATCTCTCCGCCTTTCTACTTTGCTTTCCTCCTTTTAAGAAACCACCTACCTTTTAGCCAAGTAAATATCTCCTCACGTGGCTCAGTGACAATTTTCTTTTTAGTGATGATCCTGTGAAATGTTTTGGGGCATTTGAGTAGTGGGTTCTGCTTCTGGCTTAGGGAGGAAAAGATCAGCTCTAGTTGCTAGCCCAATTGAGTGGTGTAATTTGTGAACTTCAGCTGAAGATGACTTAAAGCTGGGATGTGACACCCCATTCCTCAGTGTTCACAGTGCTATCATGTGAATGTTTCTCAGTGTATCTGAATTCTGTGGTACCCTGCAGAAGTCAGTATCTTCAGGATGAGAAAGAGTAACAAAACTGTGCTGTGTTGAAGTATATCTATGAGAAGCTATCTATGAGAAACTAGCTGTTTTAATTTCATCCTTGAACTTTTTTCCCCCACAGATTCTGATAACCGCTCTGATACCAGTCATTTCTTTTTCAGGGAGAAACTGCTTATATTAGAGTTCGTGCAGACAAGCCCAGAAGTTCTAGTTACGGCAGGTCAAGATCAAGGTCCCTTTCTAGAGGTCGTTATTCTCCCTATCAAAGTAGAAGCTCCCCTCGGTATTCACCGAGACCCCAATATAGATGAGGACTTCATAGTCAAAAATTTACTTTTTAATCCACATTCCATCATCGGCTGTTAGTTCCTTTTCCTTCAATTCTATATTTCGTGATATGCTTTGAATTAAATAAACTTGATTTTTTTCTTTTTTAATTATTGACTTTGTTGTCTTGTTCCATGGACCTTTACTGGCTTCTTAAATAATTTAGCATACCTCTTTTATTAAATAAAATTGTAGCCAGGGAAATGCTGTGTGTTTATTTGTGTAGAAAGATATTTTGTACTTGTCACTGTTCCCTGCTTCATTAATGCACACCAACTGAGTACATCTCTGGTGTTCTAATATTTGTCATTGATAATTTGAAATATTAAGAGTTTATGAAAGAAATGAACTATGAAGAAAATGTTAAATTGGACATTAACTTAGGATTTTTCAATGAAAGTGCTTGCTTGTTAAGAGAGAGTGGCAGTGTCAGCCTTGGTTCAGTGATACCTGTAGTAGAAGGCCTTGCTTAGAAAAGGGTGATCACTTTAGTCTCATGCACGTTACTGCGTTTCTGTTGGTGCTCCTTGCTCCACTAAATAATGTTTGTCCAACTGGCTTAATTTCTCATCTGAAAGGTGGCATTTCCAAGAATGCAGTGTTCCCTTAATACTCCACCCTAGATTATGCACAGGTTCCTGGAGTAGGAGGCAAAACCATAAATTTCTGCTTCAAAGATGAGAATGCACTAAGAGAGGCATCTTTTCTTTATCTCAATATTCATATAAAATCAACTTTTTTCTATTCAGTTAAATTTAATCAAAAACAACAATCCACAAGTTGATAGAGAAATAATCTACACCACTGAATTTCACTTCTTTTGGTACTACCATTTGACATGAAAAACTGCTTCACTTGACAAATCTGGTGCACTTGAATCTTCACTGCAGCAGATGCAAGTTCCATCATGTCAAGTTGTCTGCAAGAAAGTGGAATTCCTCACCAAAAGTGTCCATTTTGAAATTGTTAATTCCGAAATTTCCTGTCATCATCACCAGTTAGAATGCTGAATGAAGCTGTCTCTCTCTTCCTTCTTTGGCAGTGGAATATTCCCTAAAAAATGAAAAGACATTTATTTATAGTGGGCAAAATATATCCTAAGACAATGTAAAAACATGATAGTTTGAGAAAATTATTTTTGGTTGCAAGTTGTCACTTTCATCACCTTCAGGCCCTGCCTTACAGACCAGTACTTGGAAAGTAAAATGACATTGCAGGTGCTTAGCTCATTATTTTGGTTCTGCCCTGCATAGGGAGAAATCACAGGCAGAGCACATATGCAAAGGGAAACTCTTGCCAACAAATATGGAAATTCATACCACGAGGTATTCCCTCTTTACCTTGTGTTTAGAGTGACACCTGCTGAACTTTCAATTCAGAACCTTTTCTAAACAACCTCAAACAGGATGTCATAATTATTAAATGGCAGCTAAAATCTTTCTTCACAGAATAAGTGGTGGGAGAGACTGCCTTAAAGGTGATATCAATCAGGTTATGGTAATGCTTTTAGAACCAGCTTCCTAATTTTCTTCTGTAATCTCCTGAAAACTTAACTTGCATTGGCTACAGATCCATAGGATCAGCAATCGTAATAAATCAACTCAGTGGATACTCTTCATACAAACCAGCAAGAGACAGTAGGTAGTGACATGTTCTACCATGAGGACCATCACACCTAAGTCTGGATACATCTTCAAATGACAAACACATTGGTCACAGTTAAGTAATCCAAACACAGAAATACTGGCTGTTATCCTACACATCCCTGAGGAACAAACTCCGTATCTCGGCTGAGATCATCATCTACAGCAGACCCATAACAGGCTTGCTCTTTGCACATGTGTTTTTTGTGAACTGATGAAGTGATTTAGACAATACTAGTTCTGCTGCCAAGCAATCACAATTTTCATTTTATTGAACTAGAGATTACAGCAAGAATCCAACACATTTTTCAAATGAATACATTAATGCTAAACTGCAAATAAAGTTGAGCATTTAAAATTAAATGCTGCCAATGAGAATACTTCGCTGGTTCTAAGCTTCTGAATAAATCAAACCCACTCATCAACCTGGCTGTCATTTTCAGTTGAGACAAGTATGGGACACCACAATGCATCAAACAATTTTACAAAGCACTATATCGTTCAGACTGATTCCAAGATTTTTTTTTGACAACTAGCTTAAGCTATATAGACAGGAAAGTGTGGGTTTTATCTAATTCTGTGCCAAGTTAATTGAGCTCAAGTCACAGCAAGAGACTTGCAATCAGCCTCGGTCATCCTGGGCTAGGGAAAGGGGGATCAAAAAAACCCAGCCAGGATTTCTCCTTCATCACTATCCAAGCCTACTTTGATCACTATTAGATTTGACAGGAAATCAATGCAGTTATAGACAGTTGTAATGAAAAGCTCCTGCGTTTCTGTGAAGTCTGAAGATGGATTTAAAAAAAGTTAAATTTTAGAAGTCACATTGAAAACTTAACATGATTTCCCAACCCAACTTCCAAATGCTATACGTTGATTTTCTATCGAGAAAGTCATTAAATGTGATACTTCCAGTCAAAGAACAGTTCGAGTCTCATCATTTATCTCAAAGCATAGCTAGAAGTGGGAAAACAATATTAAAAATCACTGTGCAAAGAAGTTAAAAGAACCATGTTTAAAGAAATACCACAGGTAATGTTGATAAATGTTTGGAGTCACACCATTCTGTGATGGAAACTGATTGACAACAGGTTGACATCAGCTTTCATTATTCACTGCAATGACAGCATTGAGGAAAGCAGTACGACTTAACCCTTCAGTTGTTAGCAGTTTTCCATACATAAAATCACCTCACACAAGGGATCAGAAAATCATCCCATTAATAGATTGCATGGTAAGTTGTCTGTCTTGTATGACATGAGGGATAGTTCAAACCATATTGAAAGAATATTTAAGGAGGAGGATTCAGGACCTCTCCTTATAACCAACTTAGAGAAGTGTACTGTAGGTACTCTTGGAGAGAGCCCATGAACTAAATTAGAGATCAAGACCTCAAGGATCACTACCGTTATGAGCAAACTGGAATGGGGAGAAACAGATGATGGAAGTGAACGTGTGACCAAGTGATTGGGAAAGAAGTGTTTTATTTAAGTACTGGGACAGCAAGAAACTACTGGGCTAGGCTAAGAGTTCCTAATGGAAAGGAAAAATAAAGTGGTCACAATGATGCAGTTCTAAGAAACAAATTGGATAAATTGCAGTCACACATTTGGAGGATTTGACATGGCGGCACTTACTGAGACATAGCTGCAAGATGGTTTGGATTGGGAACTTGCAAGTTGCTAAGGCAAATGGTAGCAGAGGAGAAATAACTTTGATGATTAAGGATGAAATCATCTCAATGATAAGAGAGCTAACAACAAAAGGTAATTAGACAGTGGAGACTTTATGGCTAGAACAAAAAATTGAAAATGATTAAAGACTACATGAGAACTGTGTGGCGGTTTCTATAGCAGATATGAAGCGGCAGGTTGTGTAAATATAAAGATTAGACAAACGTAGTAGAGGCAGCGTTTTTAATGAGATTTTGACTTTTATAAAGATTGCCATAACAAGATGATGTCAGAACATGTCAGATAGGTGAATTTCATGAGTGTATCTGAACTTATTTAACAATATTTCCAGGAGCCAACAAGAGGAGATATTAGGTATGGTAATGTGTAATGATTTAGTTAATGGTTTAACAGTACAAGAACACATTTATCTAATGGTAATTATAATGTGGTTGAATAAATGTGTAGTTTAAAAAGGAGAAATGCAAAACAACTACCAACAATTCTAGATTAAGAGAAGGCTGATTTCAAAAGGATGAGAAAGAGTGTCCACAGTAAACTGGACAAACATATCAATGGGTATCTATCAACGATGACAGATCTGTGGGAGGACTCCATGTTGAGGGATACACACTAAAGCTTAAAGCAGAGGTCCAATAGGGAAAGGTCACTGTGTAAGGTCTTCCAGTCATAATACACCAAGGAGTTGGAAACTCTGTCAAACCCCTCGAGATACATGACCGACGAGTATTGTAAAGTTGTATTGCAGCACCTCAGAGTGGAGTGCACTGTATGCAGCAAAGTTGAAGCCTATTGCACTTTCTGTAATTTTCAATTTGACTGTATGCCTGACGTGAAATGTATATTGCAAATTTTAAAAGTATTGCAATTATATTGAGGCACCTAAGAGTGGAACATGTTGAATGAAGACAAGCTGAATTTTACTGCACTCTAATTTTCAAAATATTTTGTCATGTACTTTTTCAAATTTTATGAATAAAATATATTTTTGTGGTACAGGACTAGTTTTATACCCCTAAGGAGTAAGACACTGACTCATCAGGAAATACAAGTGTGGACAATTAAAGATGTAGGGGACAACATAAAACAAAGAGAAAGCATATAAAAATGCAGGGGTAAAAAAAACACTAATCCTGGTGAATAGGAAATATACAAAGTACATCCCCATACAGCGACAAAACAGAAAAATAGGGAGGAGAAAAAGGAGCTCTGAGGGGTATTAAAATTAACACTTCAGAATAAAGAGTAATCAGGTGGAATGTACTGATAACAGTGACACTGTCAATGGAAATGAGGACATGGCAGACATGCTAAATAATTATTTTGCATCTGTAGTTGAATTAGAAGAAGAGGTTAACATGCCAGACATCTCAAACAAACTAATCAATACTGAGTCAGGGTCAGAGACCCACAAAAGTGATGAGGCAAAGTAATAACAATGTGGATAAGGTGAAGAGGGATCAATCCCACCTCTGACCTTAAGATGGAGGGAAGGTCATTGATGGAATAGCTGAAAATGTCACAGCCCAGGAGAGAATCCTGAGGAACGGGGGGGCTCTTGGGAGCAGTGGTGACGTCCCTATGCTATTGCATAGGCCCAGGTTCAAATCCCATGTACTGCAGATGTGTGTCACAACATCCTGAACAGGTTGGCTAGAAAATATCGATCACACAGATAATGGAAACAGCCTGATTTCAATCCATTTATTAAAATTAGTACAGTGATGGTTGCTAATTCAGGGATAGACACGTTCCGACAATCCAATATTATTAAGAGGGCCCTCCTGGCGCAGTGGTAATGTCCCCATCTCTGAGCCAGGAGGCCTGGGTTAAAGTCCCACCTATTCCAGATGTATGTAATAATATCTCTGAACAGGTTGGTTAGAAAATATCTACCCTGATGAACTCCTGCAGAGACATACTGGGGCTGAGATGACTGACCTCAAACAACCTCCAACCATCTGCCTTTGTGCCAGGTATGTCTCCAGCCAGTGGAGAGATTTCCATGAAGGCGTTTCGCAAGGTTGCTTTTACCAATCAATGCATTGACTATAGGAGCTGGGAGGTTCTGTTGTGGCTGTACAGGACATTGATTAGGCCAATTTCGGAATACCATCTGCAATTCTGGTCTCCCTCCTATAGGATGTTGTGAAACTTGAAAGGGTTCAGAAATGATTTACAAGGATGTTGCCAGGGTTGGAGGGTTTGAGCTATAGGGAGAGGCTGAATAGGTTGGGGCTATTTTCCCTGGAGCAGCAGGGGCTGAGGGGTGACCTTATAGAGGTTTATAAAATCATCAGGGGTATGGATAGGGTGAATAGGCAAGGTTTTTTTCCCCCCCAGTACTGGGCGGCGGGAAGAGAGTCCAAAACTAGAGGGCATAGGTTTAAGGTGAGAGGGGAAAGATTTAAAAGGGACCTATGGGGGAACTTTTTCACGCAGAGGGTGGTGCGTGTATGGATTGAGCTGCCAGTGGAAGTGGTGGAGGCTGGTACAAATACAACATTTAAAAGGCATCTGGATGGATGTATGAATAGGAATGGTTTAGAGGGATATGGGCCAAATGCTGGCAAATGGGACTAGATTTATTTAAGATATCTGGTCAGCATGGATGAGTTGGACTGAAGGGTCTGTTTCCAAGCTGTGCGTCTCTCTGACTATGTCAAGAGCGACTCTCCCTCACTGCTCTTCTGGAGTTCAGCCTAATTTACCATGTTTGAACCAAGGCTGCAGTAAGATCGGGAGCTGAGTGGCCCTGGCAGAACCCAAACTGAGCTGGTTATTACTGATCACATGCTGTTTAATGGCATTGTGAAGCCATCCCTTTACTGATAACGAACAGTGAGAAGTAGGGGTAGGAATTGAGCCAATTGGATTTGAGAAACCTGGGTAATTTTCCACATTGTTGGGTAAATGCCAGGATTTTATCTGGAACAACTTAGCAAGGGACAAGGCTAACTGGGGAGCACAGGTCATCAGCACTATTGTCAGGAGGTTATTGGAGCCTCTGCAATAACCAGAGCCTTCAGTGGTTTCTTGGTACCTGTAAAGTGAATCAATTTGGCTGAAGACTGGCATCTGTGATCCTGAGGACCACAGGAAAAGGTTAAGATGAATCATCTACTCAGCACTTCTAGATGAAGGTTTAAGATTATAAGACAAAGGAGCAGGATTAGGCCATTGAGTCTGCTTTGCCTTTCAATGAGGTCACAGTTGATCTGATAATCGTTAACTTCATTTATCCGTCTTTTCACCATAACCTGCAACTCCCTCACTGATTAAAAGTCTGTGTATCTCAGCCTTCAATATACTCAACAGCCCTCTGTGGTAAAGAATTCCACAGATTCACCATTCTCTGGAGAGAATAAATTCCTCCTCATCTCTGTCTTAAATGGGTGGCTGCTTACTCTGGTCCTAAATGCTCCCACAAGCAGGAACAAGAAATATTCCCAGATTCAAGGGTCAAACTATGAGGAGGAGGTTCCACAAACCAAGGGTCTTCACGGAACTGGTAACAGCGTGGAAAAAGTGGTATTTATGCTGCAGTCAAAAGTTGGGAGAGGTGAGCGGACAGGTGACGATGGAGCCCAAAGAGACAGAGAGAGACGTGAAAGAGGTAGGTAAGCAAGGAGATTATGGATTGTAGGTCAGGACAGAGAGAAAAAAAAAAGCTGACTATGTGATAATTAGAGCTTTGTATTAGAGCAAGTTTGCAATGTTAATTATAGCTCTGGCACCGAGATGAAAATTGACACTGACACCTTCCAGCAATAACTGGAGAGGATACTGCCTGATGAATTTGAAAGCACCAAAGATGGTAAAGCTGGCTGAACGTACCTGGAGGTGCTACAAGGTATCCCTCTACAACCTGCTTCACATTGCTCAGGATTGCCTCTGCACAGTAACCTTCCGTGACCTTGTCTGCACGCAGGTACAATGGCCTGTGTGATAAAATAGAAATGTTTTGAGAATGGATTTGAAAGGTACTATAGCTGTAGTCCATTGATCTCGCAGATCAGTGATAAAGACAACTCTACAAGAGCACAGCAACTTGGAGCAGGAGTAGATTACAGTAAATCCCCATTTGACATTAACTTAGCAACATTGTTTTGTGTTAATGAAGCCTATAATTTCACTGAGCATCTTAATGTTTGTTTTAGCATCATGTCCTGTGTGGTCCAATTGGCACCATTTTGAAGGTGCCTCTCCCACTGATTTGCAGCATCTGCCTGTGCTTCACGCTCCGACTTGTATCGTCTCCCCTTTCTGACCCCACCCGGTCACTGAACCTCCTGCGTCCTGACTGACCCACTCGCCACTTCATTCTCCTGACTGTGCATTCTTGTTCAAGATCCAGGTCCAATTCCAGAACCCCAGGGGTTGTGAAAGTGTGGATCCCAATAGTGCAGAAGTCCCAAGCTGGAACCTCTTTAATCCATGTGTTTTTATAAATTCTAGTTGAGCTTCTGTCTCTCACCAGCACCCATGTCCACTGCCCTTATTGACAGTGGAAGTTCTAGAGTGCAAGTGACAAGCTGAAGCTAGGGCACATTGATAAGAACGCCTGTCTGTCTGTTTCCCGTGCTCTCTTCTGCGCCACATTTTCAGCCTCCACTGGTTCCCCCGTTCGAAGGCCTTAGGTTGAGATGTCCCCCATTCCCTGCATCGATATTCCCTTTTCCATCTCAACCAATCTTGACTCTGGGAAATAAAAGCCAAATCCTGGGGGATGCTGGAAATCTGAAATAAAAACAGAAAAGGCTGGAAATTCCCAGCAGGTCTGATTACCATCTGCAAAGAGAGAAACATTTCAAGTTAATGACCTGCTTAACATTTACAGGGTTTTTTAATTTTAAGTATCTTTTTGACACTGGTTGATTGTATGTATTACCCGCTGGTTTAGCGACATAAAATTCAAATCAATCTGCCTAAATTAAATGCAACAAAGTCTTTGGGATTAAAATATTTGTATCGACAGTCCTGGGTGCACGTTCACAGTCAGCAAATAGGAGCTTTTTCACAGGAAATCGTTCCAATTTAATCTTAAATGTGCAGTTTTCTGAGATAGTGAGCCCGGAATCAATGCCAGACCACCTCTGGTGCTGAACTCATTCATAAATAGTATGAGATATCTTGTACTGTCCTGTACTCTCTGACGGGATATATTTCTTGATTCCCAATAAGCCATTCATTCATCAAGTTATTGACCGCTGAGCATGGTGGCTCAGTGGCTAGCACTGCTGCCTCACAGCGCCAGGGACCCAGGTTCAATTCCACTTTCGGTTGACTGTGTATGGAGTTTGCACATTCTCCCCTTGTCTGCATGGGTTTCCTCCATAAGTTCCAGTTTAAAGATGTGCAGGTTAGGTGCATTGGCCATGCTAAATTGCCCATAGTGTCCAGGGATGTACAGGTTAGGTGGATTAGCCTTGGGAAATGCAGGGTTGCAGGGTTACAGGGATAGGGTGAGACGGCCAGTGTGGACTTGATGGGCCAAATGACCTGCTTCCACACTGTAGGGATTCTATGACTCTAAGTTCTCTCAGTAAAGTGAAACAAAAGTGAACACTTCTCGATGACAATAATTCACAACGTCCCAGCATCTCTTTCAAAACAATTCAGAGCCAAGGCCTCCCTCTCTTTTAAAAATAACAGTTCTTCAGCACTTTGAACGACAGTATGATGAAGAACCAAGTGAGAAAGTCCAGCGTTTGGAATGCTCACAAGGAGCACAGTCTCTCTCCCTCGAGGATCTCAATCCCGATTATACCAGGCCCAAGAGAGCTCAGGTTGGAACCCAAATACGCTGGAGATAAACCAGCAAAAAAAAATTTAGGCAGCTTTCCACTGCAGCCAGGAACACTCTACCTAATGAGGCTTGGACTTTGGGAAATGAATGGGCCTCAAGCCAAAATTAGGAGAGGTGAAGAGCTGGGTCTTAACATGCACTTTAAAAAGAAGGGGTTTAGGTTGGGAAGTCTAGACCATGTGGCCCAACTGTTTAAAGGCCTAGCTATCATGGCATCTAAGCACCAGGATCATCAGCACACAAACTGGCAGGGAGGGTGGGGGGGTGGGGCGTGGTGGTTAGAGACAGCATGTTAAAGGGTGCAGTTTCCAAAGCAGCACTGTTCCCAAGACCTCAGAGTGCCATACCCACGTCTCTGACAAAGCCCGGTGTTACATCAATGGGATCTCAAGGAGAGTTCTGTACCCAGTCTGACTTCCCACTGCGAACAGAAGGATTGTCAATGGTATACGGTCTTTCACATTTGCACAACTGATAATCCCATTTTAGTTAACCTATTTCTTTCTGTCTAATCCATGTTACCTGACCGAAAAGGCAAATATATCCACAATTTGTGAACTCTGTAATACAACCGTGGGCATAACCTCTGCCTTTGTGCCCCCAAATTCATTAGGAGATAGATCTGAAACAGGACACAACCTGCACAGGAGCAGCGAAACATTGCACACCAAGCTATCTACATTAGTGACATCTTTCACAAAAACACATAGGGTTATGAATTAGTAATTTCAAAAGAGTGAAACAGGAGGAAAGTAAAAGACAATAAAAGATCATTGATATCCATGTTGCTGTAATCGTGACCCCTTGAGCATTTGTTGTTCTAACAGCTCCATTATTTGTGGCGATGCCTCCAGCAGCCAAGGTCCTAATCTCTGGAATTCTGTCCATAGATCTCCCCATCACTCTCTCTAATCTCCTTAAGATCTACCACTTCGGCCAAGACTTTGATAGTATCACTGCAATAGATCATCCACTAAGTTCTATACCAACAACAGTTTTCGTTTGTATAGCATTTTTAACATAGTAAAACGTCCCAGTTGCTTCACAGGACCAAAACTGACACTGAACCAAAGGTTAGGTGACCAGCACGAAGGAGTGTTTTAAAGGTAAAGAGATTTAAGGAGGAAATTTCATAACATATAGCTGCTACATTTTATAGCTTTATCAGCATAAAAGAACATAAGAACTAGGAGCAGGAGTAGGCCGTCTGGCCCTTCGAGTCTGCTCCGCCATTCAATAAGATCATGGCTGATCCTTTCGTGGACTCAGATCCACTTACCCGCGTTCTCACCGTATCCCTTAATTCCTTCATTGTTCAAAAAAAATCTACCTTTTTTTAAAAACATTTACTGAAGTAGCGTCAACTACTTCACTGGGCAAGGAATTCCATAGATTAACAACCCTCCGGGTGAAGAAATTCCTTCTCAGTTCAGTCCTAAATCTGCTCCCTCTAATCTTGAGGCTATGCCCTCTTGTCCTAGCTTCACCTGCCAGTGGAAACATCCTCTCTACTTCTATCTTATCTATTCCCTTCATAATTTTATATGTTTCTATAAGATCCCCCCTCAATCTTCTGAATTCCAATGAATATAATCCCAATCTACTCAGTCTCTCCTCATAAGCCAACACCCTCAACTCCAGAATCAACCTAGTGAACCTCCTTTGCACCCCCTCCAGTGCCAGTACATCCTTTCTCAAGTAAGGAGATCAAAACTGCACACAGTACTCTAGGTGTGGCCTCACCAGCACCTTGTAAAGCTGCAACATAACCTCTCTGCTTTTTATTTCAATCCCTTTAGCAATGAAGGACAAAATTCCATTTGCCTTCCTAATTACTTGTTGTACCTGCAGACCTACCTTCTGTGATTCATGCACAAGGACACCTAGGTCCCTCTGCATAGCAGCATGCTGCAACTTTTTACCATTCAAGTAATAATCCTTTTTACTATTACTCCTACCAAAATGTATGACTTCACATTTATTTACATTGTATTCCATCTGCCAGACCTTTGCCCACTCACTTGCTTGTACAACTTTTTTATAATCTGGTTCTGGGAGTTGGGTGTCACTAGCCAGGCCAGCATTTATTGTACATCTCTAATTGCTCAGCAGGCAGTTAAGAGTCAACCACATTGCTGTGGATCACATGTAGGCCAGACTGGGTAAGAAAGACAGATTTCCTTCCCTAAAAGGACATTAATGAACCAGGTGGGTTTTTACAACAATTGACATGGTCGCCATTATTTTGATCTAATTCACCATCTGCCTTGGTGGGATTCGAACCTAGATCCCTCAACTCATTGACCTGGGGTTCTGAGCAACTCACGCAGTGACACCACCACCTCCCCTCACAATCTAACTCCGTTGGTCTCTTGTGTTCTCGTTAATTTACCATCAGGTAAGACAGAGATACCATTACCTGTCCTCCAGCACTGAATCCATGGGCTCCACTCCCTCAGTGTCAACAGCATGCAGCTGGTTGGCAAACTGTATGGCATCTGCTAGCCTTTCTATCCCCTCCTGGTTCCGAAAATCAACAAGTGCCAATCGTTCCAGGTGGTCAATCATCTCCATGGTAACCTGGAGTTTGTTGACATGAAAACATATGGAGCACATTAAATCATTATAAATCTCTGCCTAGCATAGCAGGTAAATACTGTACCACAAAACCAGAGTCTATCACTGGCCTGTGCCAGGTTGAAGCAGTGGAGGTACTGTGTCCCTGGACTACAGAAGGGGAAAACATTCAAAAGTTTTCTGTGTTTTCAATAAGTGACCATTTGTATGCACCAACTTTTATATTTTCTCCCCTTCTCACCTGAAAGCACCAATTCCCTATTTCTACTGTCAACGGATCCCTCTTGTCCATTCACACCCCATCAGCTTTCAGTGTAAAGTCTTGATTGTTTATTTAGGGTGCCTGGATTTAAAAGTTCATTTCAAGTCTGCCCACACTTGCATCGCAATTAGGGGATTGCTGGAGAGTTAAGGAATCGATGAATCTGCTTTCTCACCCAGGGATGGTGAGCAATCCTACCACTGCACAGACCAGGGTCAAACTCGGCCTCCCAGATCAATATGGTTCTCAGTTAGAGGATTAACGACCCACAGGTACGGTTTTCCGCTGTTTTCCAACAAATGCTTCCTTACCTCTGGAAGCTCGCTGACCTCTGCGGGTTGCCAGGATGGAGTCTGAGGCACCTAAAAACAAAATCAAGAATAGAAATCTGAACCAGAGCAGATTGGTTCCAATTGTAGTTAAATGGTCATTAAATGCCTGGCCTTGGGCATGAAGACTGACCACTTGGAGAAGATGGCAGCGACACCTTAATCTTCAAAACAAACAAGGAAATTAGGCCATGAACGAAGTTTCAATGCAGACATTACACAGTACCTACAGATCAGGCAGAGTGTCACCCAATAATGTATCAGGGACACAGGGTCAGGGGTCTAGTGGAAAAAAACGGTGACCAGGAAGCTTTAGCAGATGTTGAAGCAGTGATCACCGATTGATCACTCATCCAGATTCGGGGGTGGGCGGATCTGGGTGTGATCCAGATTCAGGGGGTGATCCAGGATGTGATCTAGATTACTGAGATGATCCAGATTCATGGGGTGATCTGGGATGTGATCCAGACTCAGTGGGTG